ACGGCAGATTTGTTGTAATTTGTTTACCCGATCTAGTTAGGAGAGTCACTTGAGTTCAATTACAGTCTCCTTGGCTTCAACTTGCCTGTTTTAATTTCTATGGCATATCTTAATTTTTCCCTCTTCACACTCTCCACTGTGTATGTACAGTGTCTTTGTATCACTCAAAGTGTGTTTATACTGTATGTGGTTTTGTCTGTTTGCATGACCTGTGAAACCTGTTAGAGAGTGTTGCTACAGTCAGTTCCTCTGTTTTCTTAAGAAGCAATTACAGGGGCCGTCTAGGGAGAGAGAATGGGCATCATGTTTTGACATCCTCCTTAGAGATCATCACGGATGAAATGCTCACAGTATTTAGTCATCACATTCATGCTGACTCTCTTTTCCAGCTCTGACTTGCCAGATTGTTATCAAGAAAAATACAAATGGTTATCAGAGAAAGTACCGCACAGTCTGTTGTTAAGAGGATAAGCATCAGTATGTTCCACAGAATCAATCAAAAGCCCAGGTATGCTGAATGTGTCCACACTTCTCGCAGGGATCTACTGTATATGCTCCGCCAAAGCTTTATTGATCTGTGCAGATATCTTTAAAGAAAAGCTGAATTGACATAACACAGTCTGTCGGGATGTTAGTTTCGCTTGAAGGTGCGGAGAGGCAAAAAAATCTATAGAACTAATTTCTGAATTTCTTCAAAAATGTTGAGCTAAGCCTTTGACTGATCCCGACTATGTGACTTTCCTGAGAGAGAAAAAAATTAGCCAAAAAAGCAAAGCCGTTTGAGAGTGAAGGTATATAAAAAAAGAAAGAAATAAAGAACAAAATAACTGTATTTACATTTTATTTGGCATTTACAGTACTTTGACATTTATATTTGCCTTTTCACATTTCATTTTCAGTGAATGACTTATCTAATTCAGCGTGATGCATTCAATAAAACTCAACTCAGTTTCAAAATCCTTCCAGTAATCCCCACTGCCTTTCTTTAAATAGAGACAACCTCACATTCAGTTTATATTTCTTCATTGATAATGATATAGCTTAGAAACCCACTACTCCTATCTCCTAACCCTGCTGACACTCTCCATTTCCAATTCACCCATAAAGTCCAACAGAGTTTGACCTTTTGTAGTATAATCAAGCACATCTAAATCCTCAGTTAGAGAGCATAGTGATTACATGATTGGATGGATTACTTTGCTTGATGGATGAATGGATAGATAAATAGACAGAAAAAATATAAAAGAATGGACGGATGATGGATGGATGGATGAAAAAAGATAAAAGGATGGATGATGGAAAGAAACAAGATAAAAGGATGGATGATGGAAAGAAAAAGATAAAAGGATGGATGGATGGAAAGAAAGAAAAAAAGGATGGATGGATGGAAAGAAAAAGATAAAAGGATGGATGGATGGAAAGAAAGAAAAAAAGGATGGATGGATGGAAAGAAAAAGATAAAAGGATGGATGGATGGAAAGAAAGAAAGAAAAAAAAGGATGGATGGATGGAAAGAAAGAAAAAAAAGGATGGATGGATGTATGATAAAGGTAGAATAGATAGATAGATAGATAGATAGATAGATACTTTTAGATGTCAGAAATATTGCTTTGAGTGTGTTGAGACAAGACAAGCCCATGGTGATAAAGTGCTGATAGCACTGTACATTATTGCAAGAGTGGAGTGTAAAATAAATCATTTATAAGTCTGGATGACTTGGATGATCTTGAGACTGTGTGCTTGTGTGTGTGTGTGTGTGTGTGTGTGTGTGTTCTCTAGAGGACAGGTGCTCTCTTGCTGCCTTAAGGCAACCTCATGGTGCCTAAGAGCCTATAACTGCAGACAGACGCTGAATTATTATATGGAAAATTGAGCTAAGACCCAGACTGCAGAGGTGAAAAAAAACACACTTTGACCTGTTGCGGTACAGTTTATATTTCCGGGGCTGCATGACATCATGTGCACTTAAATGAAGGTTTACAAGAAGTGCTTGAGAATGAACAGTCAGCAGCACTAGTGGTGATGGCGGTAAATGGCAATGAAATATACTGACAAGTGTCTGCTTTGTAACTATAAGCGTATTCTTATTATTCTATGACAACATCTGTGCTATTTACATACATTTTCTATTTGTATTTACATTTCTATGATATGCATGATTCAAAAATAGATGTATGAACCCAGCAGGCTTAATGAGCCACCTGTCATTTAAATGTTATGAATTCATGAAGTTTTATATAGTTTGTATCAATTCATTGCTTTTTATTGCATGCAATGCCTGCAATTTGCCCCTGTATAATTATGTATCTGCACTTTCTTTCTTTCATATACAACACTTGAGCAGAAAGTAATGGATTCCCCTGAATAATTCAGTGATGTGTGATTGTGGGCTACTTTAGTGAGTTCAAAGACCACTGTTATCTCCTGCTGTTATAGTAATGCCTTCCCTAGGGTCTGTGGGTGGTGAGTATGGCTTGAAGTGTCTCATGAGTTTCCTCCCCTGAGCTTTGTGTCCACAGATCTAAACTGGGCATGTCAATGTGATGAATGAGTTGTGTACAGACTCACAGTTAATCAGAACTTACTGGTTTTAAAATAGTTCAATGACATGAGTGCACCAAAACACCTCAGTTGTGCAAACACTAAAGCAAACATGATATTGAGCGTGAATCATGCTGGTAAGTAGGTAAGCAGGTAGGTAGATAGATGAGATAGATAACATTTTGTTGCTTTGCAGCCTGAAATGAAGACACAGTTTTTGTTTTATCCAGCTGTATTTACTCAGTGCAACTTATAACATCCAAGTGAAAGATACAATGTATGGATGGTGAGCTGTATTGGATTTTCGCCAGACATACCGTTTGGTGTTGAGGCCAAATAATTCAAATTTTTAGTCAAAATTTAGTCTCATCTGCCTCAGAATCTTCAAGGTGCGTTTTGGCATAGCTCAGTCGTGACTGCATTAGGCTTTTCTTGAGGAGTGGCTTTTTTCTTGCAAACCTCCCATACATATGGAGCAAGATTAGTCTCAATAATAACTCACCCAAAAGACACGATGCACACATGCGTAGCCCAATTCACATGCATGAAACCTAATTCACGTGCACAAAATAAGAATATATGAAGAGTTAATTTGCAAAAACCGATAAACGCCACTTTAAAAAAAAAAGAGCTGATTGCCGTGCATTATTCTCCACATATAGCGCGATCTGAACCCTAAACACATTTTGTCAAAAAAGTCGGTTTTGTCCATTTTCAAGGCATTGTGAATTTTACTGCAGAAGCCGACAAGCGCCCTTGTTGTTTTTGAACAGAAGCCGATAAGTCCATTTTAGCGAATCAGCGCGCTGTATTCAGGTCAGGTGACAAGGCTACTTTCACTTTGAAAAGACGTGCTAGCTGAGAGGAGTTTCGTCAAAGCTGACTAAAAGTGATCGAGGATGGATAATTTTGACGAACTTGATGAACCTGTGATATCTTCTTCAGGGCGAAAAAGGAAAATAAAAGCTGAAACGTTTTCACCGAACCTTGCAAAAGCAGTGCTTTACAATGGTGAAGGAAAAACTCTGTGTATTGCGTGTAATCACATCCATACAGTTTATGATCACAACAACAACAACGTTTGTCAGGCATCTACATTGTCATCTGAGGAGATTACAAAGATTAAACGAGTGTTTTTTTAAACTCTAAAACATGAAATGTGGAGTTATCTGCTTTTGCCAAAAAACAAACTTTTAATATGTAAAAAAAACATACTTTCAATGAACTTTAATTTTGTAAATTACCTGTATTTGTTTAAGTTATTATTACTTAATCAAAACAACCCAACTGCAGTTTGATTGATATTACTTGGAATGTGCAATAAAAAAACGTGATTTCTGAATAAAAATTAAAATGGAGTTATCGGTTTTTGCAGATGAACTCTTCATATATTTATAAAATAAGTTTCACAAACGCAAAACACAATTCACAGATATTGTGTACAAAAATATGGGTTTGAATTGGGCTATGCGTTTGAGCATCGTGTCTTTTGCATGAATTATTATTGAAACTAATCTCGCACCATACATACAAGTCACATTAGTGGAGAATTTGTGATATTGTTGTCACATGCACACAATGACCACTCTTTGTCATAAATTCCTGCAACTGCTTCTGAGTTGCTGTCGGCCTCTTTTTGTGCCACTGAGAAGGTGATTAACTACACCTGATTGAGTTTACAAGTCATTTTTAAAAGGGGGTGATCCTTTTTTCTTTTTTTTCTAACATGTTGGTGTTATATCTTTCACTTGGATGTTATAAGTTGCACTGAGTAAATACAGCTAGATAAAACAAAAACTGTCTGTCTTCATTTCAGGCTGCAAAGCAACACAATGTGATTATTTTAAAGGAGTGATTCTTTTCTATACCCACGATAGATAGATAGATAGATAGATAGATCTCAGAATTGCGGATAGAAAGAACAAAGGATGGATGGATGGATGTATAAATAGGTAGATAGAATAGTATGTAGAAAGAATGATGGATGGATGGAGGGACAAACAGATAGAATGATAGATAGAAAGAACGATGGATGGATGGATGGGCAGATGACAGATAGGTACTGTAGGTAGACAGAATGGTAAACAGAAAGAACCATGGCTGGACGGATAGAATGAAAAGGAGAGATAGATAGATAGATAGATAGATAGATAGCTAGATAGCTAGATAGATAGATAGATAGATACTGTACTCTTGAATACTCTGAGCCTCTAATGCTAGTTGCCTTTAATGCAACTAGCTTAAAGGTCATTAGAATGTAACAGTGGACAGACCATTTGAGGCAGATGATGCACAAGTTCTCTCTGTATTACTGTGTAATGAAGAAGAGGGTTTTAGGCTGCTGTAAGATCAGTGTGGGCTTTTGATGCGCATTTGGCCGCTGACATCTCGCTAACTGCGCCGTCACAGACGAGAAACACCCTGCAAATGACATGCCACGAAAAAAATAAGTTCCTCGGAGTAATATAATAAACCAGCTCACTTCCTCTGGCAATCGCAGAAGTGGCGGAAGTACGTCAGTTTGCTAGACTCCGAGCATTTACACTTCGCAGTGCGATTTGTGACGAGCAAGAACAGAGAGAAGAGGAGATGTGAATCATCCGCTGTCTCTTTAAAGCCACACAGCGAAGCTTCGCGTATTCCGACAAACACGCCGACGTCTTTCCCTTCAGCCGCAGCGAGCGGGCAGCGTTCAGGAATGGACGCGTTCAACTTACTCTCTGCTGGATAAAGAACTCTTTTCCTGGTTGGATATGATTTGTTTGTGGTGGATTGTGTACTGAAGAATGATCTTTGGGGGATAGGCTATAACAGCGTTTTCAGCTTGACGCGGACCGTGTTGTCTCGGATGGTTTCGTGGCGTCTCTTCACGCTGAAACTTACCGATACAATAAGTATTTGTAAATTGTTTGACAAACACGCGGATGCTTATTTTCTTGCTGCTGGCACAGTGGGTCATGAAACGGGTGGAAATGAAAGCAGGGCCAGCAACATGAATCCAGCGCGCGGTCTGCATTTTGTACACACGCTGATGTTGTTGTTGTTGTGTTCCGTTGCAACAAAGTTGCCGTGTGCTTGGAATTCACGCTACTGTAATTAAACAGCCATTTTGCACCTGTTTAAATGAAGCAAGGCGTTTCGATCCTGTGACGCTGTGGTTTGGATTATACACACGCCTCAACCTGCATGGATCACATTTGTTTGTTTATCACATTACGGAGCTTAACATCAAGGTCATACTGTAAATTGTTTACAGGCTTCAGTAGCTATGGGTGTGTTTTATTGATCGTGTGGAATCGATCGGTTTTGAGGTGATCGAGTGTCATTTTTTTCTCTTTTGGTTTTTGCGGGGGGAGGACATCGCAACGATTTTAAAATGGAAGGGAAAGTAAAGCAGAGTCGCAGATCCCGTTCGCAGCGCGAGAGGGGACGGAAACGGGAGGCGCGCGCCGGGGAAGCCCGCGATCGGAGCCCCTCGTCTGGTTCCGAACGGGAGCGAAGTCCCGGTAAAAACGCTCCGCCACGCTCGACACCCTCGAGCAGAATCCCGCGACCACCCCGGAGGAAGAGACGCGAGTCTAGTTCTCAGGAGGAGGATATTATTGATGGATTTGCTATAGCCAGTTTCGTCAGTTTGGACCGTCTCGAGGTAAGAAGCGGTTTAAATATTCTGAACACGCCCGACCGTCAATGGCCGCAGCGACGGTTCAAGTTTGTTTTGTTGTTTATACGATTGTGATGACATAACCGCTTCTGATGGCGTTAAACAGGTGTTTGCTGTTATCACAGCGTCGCATTCCAGAAGTTCCGTTCCAAGTTAGCGTTTTTGATGATAGAATACAGTGATAGTAGCCGTCGTGACGTAATAGAGGTCACGGCTGTTGCTGTTTTCGCGCTGTCACTCATGCAGAAGTGTGTCAGCTTTGTTTGACAGCCTGGTCACTTCGAGGAATACAGTGAATCATTCTGAAGGGTCTGTTTGAAGTGTGCATAACAAGAAATTCAGTATCGACTTCAGTTTGTCTTGTTAAAGTGCTTAAATGATTCATGACATAGCGGGAAGTTGTGGTTTTTATGGTTTTGGGGGATTTTTTTAAATGTAGAGGAGCTGTAAATGTCACATATCTGTTGACATGCAAAACGAAGATAGCACCTACAATGACTGTGCTATGGCTATGACAAATACTGTCGTCCAAGATGATTAAAAAAAGATGCATTTAGTAAAAGTCTAGTTTAAAACCGTTGTGTTGAGTTTTTGGAAATATTCAAATACTGTAGTACTTGTACCTTGAGTACATCGAGTTGTAAATATCAAGGCATTTTTTGGGGTTACTCATTTTTGACCTGTGCAAATCAATTTTTCTTTTCATAAAAGGTCAAATATGTGATATATAATTTCTTTAACCTAATGAACTTGACACAGTTATGAGGAACTACATTATTTCTGTTCCATGTTTTTTTTTTTCTTTACCAAAATGGTTTCCTACTTGTTGGGTGCCACACTGACTTTGATTTGGCTATTTAATATGTTCTTCAAGTAATATTTAAAAGCAAACTAGCTGCAGTGATTATTCTGATTATGCCAACCTACTTAGGCCAATAGTCTTTTACGTTACACTGCCTAGATATTTTTGAATTTAAGCCATACAAAAACTTTTTTAAATTCAGAAATTGTAAAGTTGTAAGTTCATCATTGATGAATTATAGCCATTTTGTATTCGTTCAGTTTTAATGCTTTTTTTGAATGGCCTAACATTATTGACCCATATGTAAATTAAAAACCGAAATCACCTACATTGTTCCAATTGCTTCCTTAAGTCAAGGTAAAGTACTGTAAACCTTCATAGAGTGAATGTGGGCTGTGTTTGTTTTGTGTGTGTGCATGTGTGTTCCAGACAGGATCATTGATTCATCAAGTGGTATGTTTAAACTTGTTTTACCAATAGAGAAGCTAATAAGGGCAAGTGAACGACGGCTTTACATAGGTGTTGTGCAAACAGCCTTGACCGAGAGTTGTATAGTCAGCTGAAGTGGTGGGTTATTGGCTAGCGAGTGTGAGTCTGTGTGTGTACATTCATGACAAATGACAGTGGCCTAACATGACCAGTGAACTGTAAAACAGGGCTCAGTCACAAAAACAAACAGAGATATACTTCTACATTCACTATGAAAACAGTTGGCATAGTACCTCTTGAGAGCAAATGATTTACGTGTTACTTTTATATAAAAAGGCCAGTCTGTGTTCATTTAAACTGCTAATTGAGTAGTAATTTCTCTGCTTTGCAGACGTGTTCAGGCATTTGACCCTGATAAGTAGGCATTCGATTACTAATGGCATGCTTACATTTTCATCAACACGTGCATTTTTGATAACAAACAGTCAAGATCTGAGCCCTAGAGACTATAGTCCTGCTCATATAAATTGTTCATAGCACATCACTTAATATAAGTAGAAGGTGTTCTAGTTGGCATGATTCTTTTGAGAATCCACCCACAGGTGCAGCGTATTTCAGGCCACTGCAGATAAATGCATCTTTTTTTAACTTCTCCTCGTGTTTTGCATGTCTGATGAACAGTTAAGTAAGTAGAGCTCTTCATCTGGCAATGGAAAAGAAATCCATCAGATGCATTTGTTTGCTACTTAATGGTTTGCTTCTGAATCAGCTTACCTGTGTATATGAGTTTTCCAGGGTGATTTAAATGTCAGCTGTGGGATATGATGCGGTGTCGGTAGAAGCTTTGAGATGCATTTTAGCAAAATTACATAAATGCCTCCCAGCTCTTTAAGTCCTTCTGTGTAATGAAGTACTTAATTGATAAGAATGCTGCAGTTATTCTCCCCTCATGAGAACGAGGAGGCTTGTGTGGTTGTGCTGGATACAGGATGTAAATCCTCTTTGCTGAGCCGGTTGATCTGTATGGTTATATATTTCTCTGGGTTTAATGTTACAAATTGGAATTTTAATTGCATAGCTTTACGTAATGTGATTGTGAAGTGTTTTGTTTGCTTTTCCGTGTTATAGTGATGATGTGATCTCTGCTTGTTCTCATTGTGACTATATTTGACTTCACTATAGACACAAAAAAACATTTTATTTAACGATTAATAGATAAAACGAAGGTGAGGCTGACGATGTCATAGTGGAAACTCAGGAATTTTTGGGAAGTGCCTTTAATAAATCATTATACTGGAATGTGGTGTCTCCAGTTTGATTTAGTTCTTTAAAGTCATTATGGCATGGATTTTTTATTTTATTTTAATATGTTCCTTGAGGTTTTCAAGTTTTTTTTTTGTTTTTTTTTGCACAAAAACAAATATATATGTGGAGAAAAGATTATATTAAACCCTCATATTGACCCTCTGTCTGAAATGATCAATTTTAAAGGGGTCATATGACGTTACTTAAAATAACATTATTTTGTGTATTTGGTGTAATGCAATGTGTTTATGCGGTTTAAGGTTAAAAAACACATTATTTTCCACATACTGTACATTATTGTTTCTCCTCTATGCCCCGCCTTTCTGAAATGCGTCGATTTTTACAAAGCTCATCGTTCTGAAAAGCGAGGTGTGCTCTGATTGGCCAGCTATCCAGTGCATTGTGATTGGCCATTCTGAAACGCGTTGATTTTTACAAAGCTCATCGGTCTGAAAAGCGAGGTGTGCTGTGATTGGCCAGCTATCCAGTGCGTTGTGATTGGCCGAATACCTCAAGCGTGTGACGGAAATGTTACGCCCCTTACCATACTGTGATGCCCTGTCCGGCCGGAGCGACGATTCAAAAACATTAAAACCCATTATAAACGAGGCATTTGTTGCATCCAGTGGGGACATAATTACGGATTATAATGACTTATACTGTCTTTTTACGCGTTGCGTATCGCGCCGTGTAAACATAAAACCATGTCTGCATTTGTGATCGGAGAAATGACAAACAAGCGCTACTCTACACTGCTCAAAACTCGTGGGGGGGGATTAGTTACTATAATTTGAATTTTACATATATTCAGATTGGGAAAAATGTTTCTTTCTCTCTCCTTTTTCTTTACATATATTTTCTTTTTATTATCTTCAATAATAGCAATGTGTACATACATACTGGATCTGCATAATATAATGTTATTATTATTATTATTAATTACCATTACTACTACTGTTATTATTATTTGTTTATACAAACTTTTTCTTCTCGCATTGTATGTTTGTCCATATGTTTGTCTCTGGTTTTGGTGTAACTCATTTGTTTTTCTACTGTCTTCTGTTATGTTTACTTTCAAAAAAAAAAAAAAAAAAGGAGGCACCTCTTTTAAGGTCGCTAAACGGCCACTGATTGCTAACGTCATTGCATTTGAAGACAAGTATCAGCGATCCCTTGCTATTGCATGTGAGTAAGTGTTTTGAAAGCATTATCCATATAAAGCTGTCAATTATAGACAAAGCATTATAAAATAATATACTTATGATTTGCAACATCAGCCATTAAGCAAAGAAACATCAGTTTTTTTACCGTACATTACTGCCATATGGACATCAACTTGAGATAGTCACCACTGATGAGCTATTACTAAATATAATGTAGAAACTTTAATTTTCTGTAAAGCTGCTTTGCAACGATATCTTTGTGTGTGTGATGTCACAGATCCCAGCAATATGAGCCATTTTTGGAGCTTGGTTATTTATTTATTTATTTCATAATGAGGAATATGTTTTAAAGGAGTAGTTCACTTTCAGAATGAAAATTCTGTCATCATTTACTCACTCCCCACTTGTTCCAAACCTGTATGAGTTTCTTTCTTCTGTTGAACTCAAAAGAACATATTTTGAAAAATGTTGGGATCTGAACAGTTGATGAGCCCCATTGACTTCCATAGTATTTTTTTTTCCTACTATGGAAGTCAATGGTACTCATCAACTGTTCGGATCCCAACATTTTTCAAAATATGTTCTTTTGTGTTCAACAGAAGAAAGAAACTCATACAGGTTTGGAACAAGTGGGGAGTGAGTAAATGATGACAGAATTTTCATTCTGAAAGTGAACTACTCCTTTAAGCTATGAAACCTGCAGGGTGTTTTTAATAGTACAAAGACCTTTTATGAGTCAAGGATATTTTGATGTCTCATTTCATGACCCCTTTAAGATATGAGAATGATGATGGAAAAACTTTTCATATTCCCTAATTATTGTTCAGTTTTAATCACAGAAAATCGCTCTAACAGCTGGTGTCTACACTTGCACATTAACTGCTCTAAAGGTGTCAAAACTATTGATAACTATTCTAAATATATTGCATGTCAGACAGGAGGATGGAGAGATGTGGTGAGGCATTGGACAGAGTTTTTATTAATGTTTTGTTTTTTATTGTCATGTTTGTCTCTTTGAGAGAGTGAGCAAGTGAGTGTAGGAGATGACGAGGTGGACATAAGAGAATGATAATGAAAACTGTGACCTAATATGCTTTTTTTTTTTTTTAAGATTTCATTGAGGTCATGTAGTTTATCATTAGTGTTTGTTTGACTTCGACGCTAGTCAACACAATGTTCTGCGAAAGACTTTAAACAGTAAGCAATTTTCAGGGCCAAGTTTGAAAATTCACCTTATTTTTCATTTGCACTGTTTTCCAGCAATTTTTATTTTTTTTCATGAAGCG